GTGTGGTAAGTGGTGTGTGGTAAGTGGTGTGTGATGAGTGGTGTGAGATGGGTGGTGTGAGATGAGTGGTGTGTGGCGAGTGGTGTGAGATGGGTGGTGTGAGACGAGTTGTGTGTGATGAGTGGTGTGTGATGAGTGGTGTGAGATGAGTGGTGTGTGATGAGTGGCGTGTGGTAAGTGGTGTGTGGTAAGGGGTGTGTGATGAGTGGTGTGAGATGGGTGGTGTGTGATGAGTGGTGTGTGGCGAGTGGTGTGTGATGATAGCATTTACCGCGAACAAAAACGAAACCAGAAGACGGCTGGCCCGAGAGCGAGAAAGGTGATTGTCAAGCAATTCCGAGTAAGGAAATAGTTCAAACCGAGCTGTCCAAGAGCCATGACAAATTGCGAAGAAATAAGGTTTAACATATTAAGGGAAAAGATATGTAGAAAGAGAGAAAGAGAGGGCGGATGTGAAGGAGTGACAGTGTGGATGTGCAGGTGTGATATAGATGTGGAGATGCGCGGGTGTGTGGAGGTAGAGAGGTAGATCTGCGGATGTGAGCGTGCCACACGGTCTGCCCCCACACTAAGCAATCCTATCACACGATACCGCCAATCATCCCCCTCACCAGCGACCCGCCGCGTTTACACCAGAATGTTTCGCGCTCCCCAGTGGCACGGCGCCACGCAAACGTACTTCCCACCAAGGCCGCGCAAATCCGCATGGCACTGCGACATCGTGGCCGTAACTTCGCCACACGGTCTGCCCACCCACACACTATACGAGCAATCATATCACACGATACCGCCAATCATCCCGCTCACCAGCGACATGCCGCGTTTACACCAGCAAACCATGCTCGGCCGAGCCAGAGCGGATGTTGTCAATCGTCACACACAACTCATCTCACACCATGTTCAATTTTGCACCACTCATCTTACACAACTCAAAACCACTCACTTATCTCATCTCGCACCATTCATCACACACCACTCATCACACACCACTGTTCACACACCACTCATCACACACCACTCATCTTACACAACTCATTCCACGCACCACTCACCACGCTTCACTCACCACACACCACTCACCACACACCACTCATCTTACACCACTCATCACACACCACTCATCTCACACCACTCATCTAACACCACTCATCACACACCACTCGCCACACACCATCTCACACCACTCATCTCACACCACTCATCAAACACCACTCATCACACACCACCCATCTCACACCACCCATCTCACACCACTCGTCACACACCACTTACCACACACCACTTACCAAACAACACTCATCACACACCACTCATCTCACACCACTCATCACACATCACTCATCACACACCACTCATCTCACACCACCCCTCTCACACCACTCATCACACACCACTTATCACACACCACTTACCACACACCACTCGCCACACCACTCATCTCACACCACTCATCACACACCCCTCATCTCACACCGCTCATCTCACACCACTCATTGCACACCACTCATCTCACACCACTCATCACACACCACTGACCACACACCACTTACCACACACCACTCATCACACACCACTCATCTCGCACCACTCATCACACACCACTCATCACACACCACTCATCACACACCACTCATCTCACACCATTCATCACACACCACTCATCTCACACCACTCATCACACACCACTCATCGCACACCACTCTTCACACACCACTGCCATCAGTATTAAACAGTCTGAGCATTGTGTACGCAAGAAACATACAATGCACGACATGTTCTCTTGTGTCGCAGTGCTAAAAGAGATCCAAACGTTCTCAAGCACTGGCCTCTTTCCTCAGCGTTCGCTGGAGAGAATTCAGCAGCTTCAAGGCCCAAGGGATTCATGTCTGAATCCAGGGCCTCCTCTTCTTCTTCATCGGGTTTCTTTTGCCCACGACCAGCTTTGGGCTTTGCTTCACCCTTGGCCCGGGGTTTTCTCTTTGGCTTCGCAGTCTTTTCTGACGAAGATTCCTCTGCTGAAGAAGCAAAGCGTGATGGCAGGGTGTGATGTCCTGCTGAAACTGCTGGGGCTACACCTATGCATCAAGCAAAATGCAATAATTGTTGAGCATTCTCTCCCAACCAGACAAGATGAGTGGCAAGTAGGTTTGCACATTTTTTCAAGCTTTTGAATTGCCAAGAGATTGTCCTGCCTTGTGATGATTGACCTGGAACTGAGTGCACAGCTCTGCCAGGCTGTGAGGGAGCAGGCCCAAGATTTGGTCGAGGCGAGGGGATCGATCCAGTCCCACGGTTTGGTGGGGTAGCCCCCAAAACTGCATGAAGGTCAAAAGCCTCAGATGTAAATCAAAACAATCTTTGGCAAGCAAGTATTCAAAACCTGTTTGTTCACAAGTTGCAACTGGAAGGCTGGTCGGCGCCAAGAAAGATTCTCTGAAACAATCTCCGGCTCATCCCCATTGGACCATTCCTCAGTCCTGTTTGTAGGAGGCATCTTCAGCAGAGTGAGAAAGATGATACATGTCGCATCATCGCGCGGAAGGTGGCCACAAAGATTTTGAAGGAAGTTAGCAGCAAGTCGTTGGGAGAAGTGAGACAAGAAGCACACCTCGCCGGATGAAGGCCCGGCCCGAAGCACACTCCTGAGCGCAGATTCTTCCACGCAGAAATTGAGGAATGGCGTTATGAGCACTGGACTGTTGAGTCCCAACAAAGCCAACACCTTCGCTACAAAACGCTCATGGCCTCCGAACCCAACTTCGCTTGCGAGTGTTGGGTTCTATTTTTAAACCGACGCTTCAAGCATGGGGCGGAGAAGAGCGGGTCGGAGAAGTGCTTGGATGGAAACTGGTGTCAAAAAATGACATCAGGCTGTTGTCATCATTGGGCAGCATTCCTTTGTGGGTGAAGACGGAGAGTTGTGGCTCGACACCAAGAAAACTTTGCCGAAGCCAGGATCTCACGGACGGGTCTTTGCACAACTACGCAGTCTCGGTCTCGGCACGGGTGAGCCAAAGATTTCCCATTCGCTAAAGACTTCCCGTTAGTGGTGTGAGATGAGTGTGTGAGATGAGTGGTGTAAGATGCGTGGTGTAAGATGGGTAGTGTAAGATAGGTGGTGTGAGATGAGTGGGGTGAGATGGGTGGTGTAAGATGGGTGGTGTAAGATAGATAGTGTGAGATGAGTGGTGTGAGATGAGTGGTGTAAGATGAGTGATGTAAGATGGGTCGTGTAAGATAGGTGGTGTGAGATGAGTGGGGTAAGATGAGTGATGTAAGATGGGTGATGTAAGATAGGTAGTGTGAGATGAGTGGTGTAAGATGAGTGGTGTAAGATGAGTGGTGTGAGATGAGTGGTGTAAGATGAGTAGTGTCAGAGGACGGCCGCGGCGGCGGCGGAGGACGGAGTACGGAGTGGCGGGCGCGACGTGGAGCGACGGGTGCAGAGCGAAAAACAAGAACCCCCACATAGTGATGTGGGGAATAACACGAAGAGATACGAAGAGTAGATCCAATAGAATATCATAGAATCCTGAACCCCCCGTCGTAGCAGAAAAAACTGCACATCATCAAAGAAAGCGTTCATGCCTTGAAAAAGCGCACCACAGGAAAGTCAGATGTAGCTTCATTCCACCTTATGTGGTCTTCAAGTCCACCCGGTTCACCCGGTCCATAGGACCCCCAAAGGGAGGGCCATTTAATTTAGGATTTGTTTGTTCTTTCTTTTTTAAGATTTCTTTTTGTTTCTTGTGGCTTTTGGCTTTTGTGGCTTTCGTGGCTTTTGTGGGTTCCGTGGCTTTTGTGGCTTCCGTGATTTTTGGCTTTGGTGGCTTTCGTGGCTTCTGTGGCTTTTGGCTTTCTTGGCTTTCGTGGCTTCCGTGGCTTCTGTGGCTTTTGTGGCGTTTGGCTTTCGTTGCTTTTGTGGCTTCTGGCTGTTTGCTACTAGTCCATCTTTGGAGGAATGTGAAGTCCGAGGCACAGCTCCCAGATGTCAGACGGTCTTGTTTTCATCCAAACGATTCCTTTGGTGGCTTCTGGCTTTTGGTGGCTTTTCGCTTTTGGTGGCTTTTGATGACTTTGGCTTTCGGTGCTTCGGCTGGCTTCTGTTGGCTTTTCGTGTCTTCATGCACTGATATGGTGTTAATATGCCTGGCTGTTTGCCAGCTACGACAGCTCCCAAATCTGTCTACCTATCCATCTATCTGTCTATATCTATCTATCTTTCTATCTGTCTGTCTATCCATCTATCTAACTGTACTTCTTTCTTTCTGTCTTTCTTTCTTTCTTTTTTGGTCTTTCTTTCTTTCTCTTTGGCAGCTGTTCTCCTTTCTCTTTTTGCGTTTGCTTTTCCATTTGTTTGCGTTGCAGAGAAGAAACCAAACAAGGAAGCAACAAGCAAGCAAGCAAGCAAGCACGAGCTGCTCACCTTTGGATCTGGTGTGCTGCTGGGGGGGGCGCTGCGCCCCCCCCCCCCCAACCCCCCCCGCGCCACGAAATCTGCACTTCATCTCCGACACTCGCGCCTGCCACGAAATCAATCTTTAAGGTGAACTCCCCGGTGCAAAAATTCTAACCAAGCAAATATGCCTCCTGCGCTAGTTCTCTTTCTCTATGCTGTTTCTCTGCTAACTGCACCAAACTGTTGTGATAGGTAGGAGTTTCTCTGACACATACTATTCCAATATATTCCAATGTATTTTGCCAGCTACGACAGCTCCCAAATCTGTCTACTTATCCATCCATCTGTCTAGATCTATCTGTCTATATCTATCTATCTGTCTGCCTGTCTGTCTATCTATCTATCTGTTTGTCTGTCTGTCTGCCTGTCTGTCTATCGATCTATCTGTCTATCTATCTATCTGTCTGTCTATCGGTCTATCTATCTATCTCTTTCTTTCTTTTGTTTGTCTTTCTGTATGTTTGTCTTTCTTTCTTTCCTATCTACCTATCTATCTATCTATCTAACTATTTATCCATCTATGTATCTATGTATCTATCGATCCATTTATCTGTCTATCTTTCTATCTGTCTATCTATCTGGCTAGCTAGCACCTGCCACGAAATCTGCACTTCAAGGTCCACAAAGTACTGTGCCTGCCACGAAATCTGCGCTCCAAGGCTTAAAGTCCTGCACCTGCCACGAAATCTGCATTTCAACATCCACAAAGTCCTGCACCTGCCACGAAAAGTGCACTTCAACTTCCAAAAAGTCCTGCACCTGCCACGAAATCTGCACTTCAAGGTCCACAAAGTGACTGCGCCTGCCACGAAACACGAAAAACAAAAACAATAAAAAATCCTAAAATTAAATCCGAGCCCCCACAGGCCCACAAGGGTTGATAAGGACACTGGTCAGGAACCAGTAGGCTTTAGAGTTTACATCACCAAAAATCGCTCATATGTCCTGAAAAGTGTACATACCCTCAATTAACGCTCAAACTTCCAATAAGTTCTCCAAACCATGGTTCGCCAGAAATAAGTGTTACAAAGGATGCTTCAGGATATCATACCGTTCCGTTCCAGGATGGTGAGGATAGTGAGGCTTTGAGAGTTTCGAAGCAGGGTTTCGTCTCAAGAGAATGCAACACGAGTAGGACGAGTAGCACTGTCATGCGCTTTGAGACATGAAACCGTTGGTTTGAATGGTGAACCACCTGGTCTTTGCTCAATGTACTATCACGAAGAAACATTTTCAAACTGTTCCACACAAACTGCGTCCACACCTGCTTTTCAGCACCGGCAAACTTGGAGGCCTCGGTGGCTGGTTTGCTACCTGAGCGTCCACGGTTCCTGCCGCTTTGCAAGGGCACCCCGATCGAAGTCCTTCAGGCGCAGCCGATGTCGTCGCGCGCGGATGGAAGGCGGTGTTGAGTGTTTGCTTCGACGCGGGGGCGAAGGGTGCCATCAGGGCGGGTGGCTTGGGGTGGAACAGATGGGTTTTCAGATGGACAGAGTTTAGTTGACCTGGTTATTTGTCTGAACTCCTTGGTAAACCCATGGTTTTCCAGTTTCAGGTCGTTATTTCAAAGGTGGTTGGAATCGTAGGTGTATTGGCATGTATTCACTATGTATGCGCGACCTGCGTTCCACAGCGCTTTGTATTTTTTCACCATATCAATTTCCACTCCCTCCACCAGTCATGGCATTCGATTCAGGCGGTGATGTTGGGTGTGGATGTGTTTGAGCTGACCTACCCCGCAGAGGCCAGTCAGACGAGACAAGACCAGCAACGGGGGCGGGTGTGGAGAGACAGAGCGAGGGAATGAGGGAGGTCAGCCACCGAGCAAGTGCTTGCCCTAACTAAAACAAGGGCAATAGGTGTGAGTGAGAGAACCAACTGGCTCGCATTCCGCACGACTTGCTTGTGGGGAACATCGGGGTCCGGTTTCGATGCATTTTCCAAAAGGTGGGGGGGCCGTCCAGCCGCCGACTGCCACATCTCTTTATATCCCCATGCTTCCCTTGCTATCCCCCCCAACACCCCTGAACCAGAATAAACTACTGTACCTGGTTTTGCTTATAGTTGATTGTAGGTAATTGTTAATGTTCCCATATTTTCCCCATGGGTGAACCTTCTTGTAATATTGGTTATTTTAAAATTATTGGTGATTAATATTTTTAAGTATACTGGTTCCTTTGGTTATATTTTCTTGGATGAATCCCTCTTTCTACCCAAAGGCTCATTAGACCCTCAGTCCGCTAGGGTTTTGACCCTCACAGCCAGGGTGAACTGGACCGAACCAACATGTAGCAGTTGGTTCGGGTCCATGAGCCTTTTGGCTTTTAATGGGTTCTTTAAGCAAATAGAAATACCGGTAGTTCTCGCCACGTGCTTCAGGCCGCCGTGGCCGGTCTCGCGCTGACCTTCGAGTGCGAGCTGCCGGAAGGTGGGCTGAACGAGGATCCGTTCGCAGCCAGAAGAGCTCCGTTTTGGCACTTTGTCACTCACAAAATGGAGGAGTTCGTCAGTTCGAGGGTCAGGTTTTGGGGAAGATTTGGGTTGGCACGTTCAATGAGAACCACGTTCTGCATGTTGCCCTGAGTTTGGTATCCTTGCCGCTCCGAACATTTCGACCCCAACTGAAAAGAAGTTGGTTATATATTGATCCAATATGGCTGCGGGAGTGGCTGTGTTTGTTTTCTCACAGAACATGCAACAGAATAGACAAATTACCTACAGGATGTTTTCACCCACCAGGCTCAGTTCCCACCAGGCTGACTTCCGCAGTTCCTTTTTGGCCACAGCCAGGTTTGGTGTTGCAGGTTTGGGTGGTTGGTTTGGGAGTTCGTTTTGCTTCTTTTTGGTGTTTGTTTGGGGGTTTTGAGTGTTTATCAGCCATATGGGCCATACCCGAACATATCAATTCAATCTTGATTCTTGATTGCTAGCGTGGGTGCTAGCATTGGAGGCCTTCGACCTCCCAACAACGCCTGCCCGGCCCCAAGCCAAAACGAACTCCAAGAGGTTTTGCCCACCTGTTCCCAGTCTTGGAGAGGTCACTGGCAAGGTTTTACAGTCATATTGCCCATACTGCTCGACGAATGATGGTGACTGTATGTTGCAAAGGTGTGGTCTTTGTCTCATGCACATATACCAGGGACCCTCAAAACCATGAAAAAACAAAAGCTTTCACATACCAAAACCACGCGTTTTGCTAGGGAAAACCAGGTGTTTGATGGTTTGTGGGGCCCCTTGATGTATAGATCATCACAGCATACGTCATGTGTCAAAATGCCACCACGTCATGTGTCTTGCCGGAGGCTTTGAGGTGGTGGATTCAGACAGAGAGGCGGCGGGGTTGGACCCACTTCTTTGAAGAAACCCGGGGTTCAGACGGGGGGCACTCAGTCGGTCTTATAACCAAGAAAGAATGGTTGACCTGTTTGTGAAGTGCAGGCCTCCCTATTAGACAGGACACTCAGGAAGGAATGGATGCGAAAACTACCTGGAGTCTCAGTTCGGAAAACTAGTACAATTATACATGTTTTTATGTTTAAAACAGGTCATGTCTCATTTTCCCGAATGCGTAGCGAAGGGTTCTCGTTTAACTCTGGGGGTCTGGGGGTAATGTAGTCCCTTGATTTATAAACCCCCTCCCTCAACAACCAAGGCCTCCAAAATAATGTACAAGAAAATCAATCAATTGATAATTAAATAAGGAATCCTTAGCGAGCTACCTCTGGAGCTACTCTGGCAATATCACGAAAGGTAGCCCTTTAGGGGATACCTTGAGTTTGACTTGCGAAGCAAGTGTCGGCGAGTCCGGGTCTAATAATTGATCATTCAATTCAACCCCC